CAGCAATCTAAAAGATATTTTCGTGGTTTTTCTCTACGCGTAACACAAAATGTGATTGTTTTCATTAAAAAAAAGCATTCATAAAGGCACTAATGCTTCAATATTTACATAAATTAAGAGTTATTTTATCTTTCTTCCCTGTTAAAACTACAAAAGAAGATTTTTTTCTTCCAATGCCCACCTGGAGAATAACTTACGTCATACAGACATCTGAAGGGCAGATTTGTTGGTCACTCTTTCAGGGGCACCATATTAGATGAGCCAACGTTGCTCCCGCAGTACAGATAGTACAGAGAAGGAAAGAACATCCATGGCTTGCCCGGGATTCGAACCCAGAATCCCGGTCTTTCTGATGCAAGGGCAGTTCCCTAACCCCTACACAGGCCGGCCGCCACCACAAAAGAAGAGCATTTGATAAATTGCAATTCACTAGTAGGGTAAATATTATAACAGTCGTTGAACAGCCGGCCTAATTTTTGGGTTGACAGCTACGAATGTTTAACTCCATACCCTTGTAATTTTGAACCCAATCTGGAAGACAAGGAAACTCCTGGATCAAGTATTGCTGAAAATTTGCTTTCAGGGAGAACTTTTTGATGGAACTAACCCTTGCTTGTCTATTTAATGATGATTGTTTTTATAAACAATTATTGCTTTTTAATCCAGTCAACCCGTGATAATTACATTTTTAAATTGTTAAGGGGAGAATTTTGAGAGATAAACACCCCAACTTCTAAAGAGGCACTAAGATAATTTTGGATTTTTATTATTCGTTTTTTACCCAGCAAAAATTAGCAATGATTAGCAGCTGGAAATTTTAAAGTACCTATCCAGAGATAATAATTTGAAATACGAAAAAGTTTGATGCAAAAATGACATTTTAAGAAAAATTATAACTTATCACCATATTGTCTTAAGCCTTTTTAATTTAAGTATAAAACAAATAGTGACCTATATAATAATATATTACAATATTTCACATTCATATATCTTTAATTCCGCGTTGATCCGCATAGTGAAGAGGAAATGTTGATTGCCAGAGCTGGTGGTACCTCGTCTTCTGGCATCGATCATGAACAGCTATCAAACTTACTTCAGACGTTCTTAACGATGATGAGCTACATGTTACGCTGTTTTAATTCTCAGGATCGGAACTTCGAAGTTACTTCTTATGGGAGATATTTCTAAGTTGCATAGCTAAAAGACTTCTCTAGACTTCAAATACACCACAAATCCTTTTATTTAATTGTCATATTTTTGAATAGAGTACATCTATTGTTCATGGATTGTAGAATAAAACATTATCAAATCCAACACGTGGACTATGTGCTCCAGGGAGTATAAAATATTAACTTACTTAAATAGCATACTTGAGATTTGTTACAGTAAAATTTACGAAATAGATGATTTGCAATATGTTAAATTTATGAAGTTAAAAAAGGAATAAAATTACGATGAATTATATCAAACTTGGAGCACACAGGGGGAAAAACAATAATACACGTAGCTTAAAAAAGCAAGCTATCCCTCGAGAAATCCACGGGGAATACTGGTCTATCTCCAAAAGATAGCGTCCCCTCCCTAGTGGTTGCGAGAATCTCTAAAGACGAGCTAGGAGTCAAGCCCTAGAGATCCTGCAAAGGCAACGAAGAGGGCGCTCCTTTTGGAGACAGCCCAGTAGGTATAAGGAAAAGTAAACATTGTGGTGATCCCATGATCACACCACAATCTTAATTTCAATAATAATGGTATACTTGTTTGAAGTTTTGTAAAAGTGAGTTCTCAAGTCAAATAATAATATCGGAGGATAATTAAACCAAAAACAGACCTATTTAGTCAAAGCTCCAACACAATAACGCATTAAAAGAGCTTTAATTTTTTCTACAGAGAAAAAAAAATCTATATTCACCTCTATTCTGGATAAAAAAAAGTTCAAAGGGAATTTTTTCTATTTTTTTTTAATACCATTGCAATAATTTCCGTTAGATACGAAGAATAACCAATTAAAATTATATTAAGTCCAGATAATGTAAGTAACAAGAAACATCACGTAAGAGTGAGACAAAATACCTTTAAATACAAATAACCACATTCGTTCCCGTTTAATCCCGTGATATAGCATGACGAGATGTTTTTCTACAGTTGGTGTGAATAAAACAGATTGTGTAGTTGCGAGATGTATATTATCATTCCAATATTTTTGCAGAAAATATGTTTTCTGGGGACAATAACATTGCCTAAGGTTCATCGTTATATTACTGACTTTCGTCTAAAAAGTTATCAAAAATTAGCTCCGACCCTATTCCTATTTCTTTCCCTCAAAGACGATAAAACATCCACTTTTTTGTTCTCTCTTGTTCATCGTTCTTCTATTTCTCAACAACTGCAAAATTACTCCCGATTTGAATTTGCATTTTATAAAAATAAATCAATTTATAGTATATTTGTATTTTGATTTGAAGTTTTCTTTGTTTAAGGATCAATCCTAAATTATTAAGATTTGCTTTTGGCTGAGAATTTTGAAATTTGGCTAATACCTTTGATATTTGGTTAAGTTGCAGGCAAATAATTTGAAGTCCTTAGCACGAGCACTGCATATATCTTACAAAGGCGTCACCAGTAGGACCAGTAGCGCGAAAGGGCAAACGATCCGATATCGGAATAATCTTAAATGTCGTCGAGAAAAATGCTACCGCCTTGAAAAGAAATATAACTACATTGTTAATAAAATCTAGTTTTTCTTTTCTTTTGCAAATGAGAATAAATTGAAAACATAAAGACGATAATGTGTTCTTTTTACTGTTTCCATAAGGAAAGTAATTCAACACCCCCGACGGAGATGGGGAGACAAGAAGACTGTCCTCTACCACATTTTTTGAGACAGATAATGCATGCACACTTTCTCAGAAAGAAAAGTATTTTGTTAAACTTTGTTATACTCAATAATAAAGAAAAGTATTGTGCTAAACTTCGTTAAATTTTAAACGTTAAACTCAAGAATAAAGAAAAGTATTTTGTTAAACTTTGTTAAATTTTAAACGTTAAACTTTGTTAAACTCAAGAATAAAGAAAAGTATTTTGTTAAATTTTGTCAAATTTTAAACGTTAAACTTTGTTAAACTCAAGAATAAAGAAAAGTATTTTGTTAAACTATGTTAAACTCAAGAATAAAGAAAAGTATTTTGTTAAATTCTGTCAAATTTTAAACGTTAAACTTCGTTAAACTCAAGAATAAAGAAAAGTATTTTGTTAAACTTCGTTAAATTTTAAACGTTAAACTCAAGAATAAAGAAAAGTATTGTGTTAAACTTCGCTAAACTTTAAACGTTAAACTTTGTTAAACTCAAGAATAAAGAAAAGTATTTTGTAAAACGTCACACCGTTTAACGTAAGGAATTCTATTTTTAAATTATGTGACAGAAATGAAGGAGTAAGTTTGCTCCGTCAATCATTTTCTTTTAAATTTGCTCTTAAATAGTGTATGTATTTAGATATGCTAATAAATTTAATTATAATTGCTCATATATGAGTTAAAATAGACCTGTAATACCTACCAAGTTGTCGTATGAGCTAAAGTAAAGAGGACCTCAATCATTCTGTAGTTGAAATGCACGTGCTATTCCATCAGAAATAATTTTTCTACTGGTCGGGAAAATAAAATAATTTTTTTAATATAATAAAAAAATTATGATTAACAAAATGGACGTATAATTCGAGATTGTAATCCCTGCACTCGTCGGAAAAGTTCACCTTCCTGTCGAAAAAAATATATAAAAATAAACCCGACAAAAATAAGAATTTATTCTATTAAGCCGAATTTTATTGATTTATTGGTTAGTTTTTTGTATTATTATAGACACCGCTTTCTCCAAAAGTGTGAGACTGACAAAACTGCTCAGTAACTCCTTTAATTGGCATATAGCACGTTCACATTACATTATAAGAAAATTTATAATAAATTTATTTTCCATTGTTCTTTTAATAATAAATATTCTAGAGCCGATATGGCTAATATCAGAGGTAGGACTGGGCGATATTAGAAATTATATATCGTGATGCATCGTCAGTTTTGCATCGCGATATAGCGAGGTATCGCGATATAGTATTTTTGAATTTCATTTACTTGTAAGGCACAGAAAGTCAGATTTCTATCAAAACTTCATACTCAGATGGATTTATACAGGAATGAAATCAAGTCTTTAAGAACTTGCATTTCTAAGTCCACGATTTCTATAACGTTGGTCTCCTTTTCTTCTAACTTGTGTTCGAACATCCTTGCGAACACAGGGGATCGGCCTCATATAATTGCTTTGTGCACTCGCAAAGAGTCAGTGCCGATGCGCAAGCACACATCGGCGTACAGAGAAACGCCATACATGGTTTTCAAATAGCTAGACAATTTTACGAGATTTTTACTGTGATCCGGACCTTCCGATTTTAGCTCAAAGGTTTGTGTCTCGATATTGTGTCCTGAAAATGTCATGAAGCAAGAAAATGTAATAATATCTTTTGTCAGATGATACATATCTTTAGTATTTATTGTATCGATATCGTTAATCAGTACACATTGTAAACGTTTCCCATATGTCTCATGAAGTTTCTTTTCAATCCATACCTTTACACTAGAGTCCACAATAGAAATTCTGTGTTTTACAGATACATTTTGCTTTGTAGGATTGCAAATGAACCAAGTTAAATATGATGATGACGTTTTCAAAATGGAATACCACCTAGCCTCAGAACAGCAAGGATAAAAATCAGGACTTGTGATTTCTTTTTCCAGCAAATGTAAGTGTTCTATGGACCACTTGAAAGTGTAGGTGCTTATCGGAATTTGTGTCCTTATATGACATCCTTTCTTACATTTGGACATTGTTACTGAAACAAATATATATTTATATATATATATATATATTTATATATATATATGCTTATATATATATATGCTTGTATATATATATGTATATGCTTATATATATATATGCTAATATATATTTATATATATATATGCTTGTCCAAAGGGAAATTTTAAAAAAATACGAAATGGGTGAATCAGCGAGGATAACAACAAAAATGGCCACAAAAATTTTCAAATTACTATTGAAACAAGAGGTTAAAAATTTCAAGTCTGTTATAACTAGGAGTTTCTAAATCCTAATATACTTGACCTCGAACTTCAAGGCATTCCTCCCACTGATTCCTTCCGCTTAGTATAGGCTCTCCAAATAACTCAGCAGTTTCAGTAACATTTATCTGAGCAATTTCATTAACATTAATCTCAACATCAGTTTTGTTTTTCGAACGAGTACGCATCACTTCCGCCGCAAGCTTAGTATTCTCTGAGACGAGATTTGCCCACTCATCTGTTGCTAAAATTGGCTCCAGATTTATATCCATAAAGGTCATAACAGAATCCTTCAATATTTGATCAGAGTGGCGTTCAGCGAGTGCTAATACTAGGCAAGCATTGTCAATGGTCAACTTGGATAAGAGAATTTCGCCGCAAAACTTGCGGAGATCTGAAACATCATATTTATCAGCAGCGTAGTACAAAGCTAGAACAGAATCAAAATCCTCATTTGGTATAAACGCTGTGTACAGGAATGAAATCAAATCTTTAAGAACTTGCATTTCTAAGTCCACTATTTCTATAACGTTGGTTTCTTTTTCTTCCAGCTTGTGTTCAAACATTTTTTGCGAACACTGGGGATCGGCTACATATAATTGCTTTGTGCACTCGCAAAGAGTCAGTACCGATGCGCAAGCACACATCGGTGTACAGAGAAACGCCATACATGGTTTTTAAATCATTAGACAATTTTACGAGATTTTTACTGTCATCCGCAGTTTCCGATATCAGCTCAAAGGTTTGGTTCTCGATATTGTGTCCTGAAAATGTCATGAAACAAGAAAATGTGACAATATCTTTTGTCAGATGATACATATCGTTAGTATTTATTGTATCGCTATCGTTAATCAGTACACATTGTGCAATGTTCTCATAAGACGAACGTATTACTCTATTCCGATTGGTACTCACAGTACTTTGTTCTGTGTTATAGGTCCTATGTAGTTTCTTTTTAAACCATATCATTCCACTTGAGTCCACAATAGAAATTCTGTGTTCTACAGATACATTTTGCTCTGTAGGATTGTACATGACCCAAGTTAAATATGACGAGGACTTTTTTAAAGTAGAATACCACTTAACCCCAGAACAGCAAGGATAAAAATCAGGACTTGTGATTTCTTTTTCCAGCAAAAGTTTTGAAAAGTGTTCTATGGACCACTTGAAAGTGTAGGTACTGATCGGAATTTGTGTCCTTATATGGCATCCTTTCTTACTTTTGGACATTGTTACTGAAACAAAAAAAAATATGTTGATATATCATACCTGCCAACTTTTACGCATTTGGCGTAAAATTTTATTTCTATATTTAAAGTGGTAGTAAAATCTATGCCTTTTATGTATTCCGTTCATTTATAAAATTAATTTATGATTTTTTTGATCCACCGCTATTTTTAAAAAAATTAAACATATAAAGATTAATATGCAATACAGGTTCAAATGTCATATAGGTATATAGGTAACTAAGGTAGACCGTATAAGCTCGCTTGAAATGCAAAGTGTGTTTCTGCTTAAAATTGTAATTTAAATTTCATCCTTGAAGGAATTAAAAGCTGGCAGGTATGTATATATACATTTTCTGGATGTTCTATAATTACCACTTGTAATATATATCTTAGAATGCTCGTCAAAAGTGAAATTTAAAAAAAAAATACAAAATGGGTGTATCAGCGAGGATAACAACAAAAATGGCCTCAAGAATTTTCGAATTACTATTGAAACAAGTGAGGTTAAAATTTTCAATCTATTACAGCTTGGAGTTGTTTCTAATAATCGTATTTTACTTCATCTCATTTTTTACAGGCAATTTATAAGGAGCAGATTTCTATTTGTTTTTGACTTCTCTTGTTAAAGAATCGTCAAGTTGTCATAGGGTTTTTAATTTTTTCCTGGCATTAATATAAATTCACGACCCCTAATATGTATATTATTTTAAATTCACTTCGTTTTAGGACTTCAAATTAAATAAAATATATATTAATCTATGTCAAAGGCGATAATTACAGAGAATCTGTATGTTAAGTAAATAAATAAGTATTCCTTTTTTGTGTAAATATCACTCTCTTCAAACACAGTTATGCCAATATCAAGACCTATTTATATGCATAATGACGGAACGTGCACCAAAAAAGTAAAAGAGAGATAGAGTTTTATTTTATTAATATTTATATTTCTCAATTTAACCAATATCAATTTAAAATTTAAGTTAATTTCTCAAATAACACGAATAAGTTGTTGTTGTTGGTTTAAGTCACCTAAATCTGCACAATGGGCTATTGGGGATGGTCTAAACATCTCCGAGAATGATTTGAAGACATGCCATCACAATTTTGATCCTCTGCAGAGAGGCTGGTTCCTCTGCTTTCGTAGCCCGACGGCCTGCGAGAAGTCGAACACTTCAGGGTAGATCAGTTTAACGAGGACTGATACCACAAACCCTATATCTCTTTGCAAATTAATCAAAGTGGTCACCCAACCGCACACTGACAGCAGCCAGCCAATGCTGCTCGTCTTCGATGCTCTAATAGGATCCTTGCGATGCAAATAAAAGAAACAGATTATGAAAAGTGGTAGAGTGCATTATTTAAATATTGGGCAAATAAATTTACACCATATCCGCGCAGCAAATATTCAGCTCTCCCATGGTATTCATACTATAAAACTTAATTGCATTAAATGTAATATTGCTATCAATTTTGCAGCTAATTTTAAAATATATGCATGACCAAGGGCGGGCTATATTGAAGGATCCCACCATGAAAAAAGTTATCCGCAAGATAAAAATATATCCCCTTTAATTCAGTCAGGAGAGTTGCCAGCTCCTAAATGTTAAATTCAGATTATGCATTTTTAGTCATAGCTTAATAGGGCAATTCGAACAATTCTGCACTACCTATAACACTCGTATGTGCACAAAAAAAAATTCATGAAAAAAATTATTTTCATTAATTATTTAGAATTTTTTATTCTTTTTATTTAATGCTACTCGAAAAATTTTAAAATGCGAGACACACATATTATTACAGTTTTTCAAACTAAGTAATTTTAAATGTCGAGTTCAAAATTTAAACAAAATATATAAATTTATAAAACTTTAAAGAAGAAATGCATTTCATATTTCTCAAAAACTGTTGTCCCACAGTGGACTGATCGTTAAGACACTGTTCCCAGCAGATCACCGAGGTCAAGCATCACTGGCTACGGTCAGTGTGCTGGCGGGTGACCACTTGGATCAGTCTTCGTAAGGACCGAGGGTGTGCAGTATTGATCCTCGTAAAGTGCTCGACTTCGCATCGCATGCAGGACGTCTAGCTACCGAATCGGGGAAGCCATCCCCTCTGCAGAGGATCAAAATTGTGATGGCATGTCTTCGGTTCATCCTCAGGGATGTATCGCAGACCGTCGCCAATAGCCCATTGTGTAGCTCTAGTGCGACGGAAATGAACTGCAACTATAAAAACTGTTCGACCGATTTGTTCAAATCTTGTCGTTTAAAATTAAACAGCTTGAAAACTATAAGGTTTAAAATTTTAAATTTTTTTTACTACAAATATTTAACACAGCATGCCAAAGTCACGGGCTTGACATGCACGGAGGAAGCTTACAAAAAGTATATGCAGAAAGTTTTTGCACCAACTTTTTTGTAACATTTCAATCAAGAATTTTTTTTTATTTTTTATTTTTTATTTTTTTTACGTTTCTTTTAATCTGTTATGTATTTGTCACAAGAAATCGATAGAATCACTTGCTAAGTTAAAGACTTATAAGGATTATTTTCTTTAAAAGTACAATTTTTGTACATGTACTTGTATAAGCATCTAGTATGGATATTTAGACAGGAGGGACATTCTTTGTTATGTAATGATTTATGCTTAATTTAACGAAATCAAAATTAAGTTGACAGATTTAATAGTTTCGAACTTGTAAGGTTATTTATGCGTAAATAAGTATAGGCTAAAAATTATAATTTTAATGTAGAAACCCTAATATTTTATCACCTATAATTCTATCGGATTGGTTTCTACTTTATTCACTTGTATCTAAAATAATACCATATCCAATATTTCGCTTGTCTTTATATCCAATCTAAAACTCAAAAAGGCTTATTCAAAAATTTTACTTTTTATACTTCAGAACTCTAAAAGCTTTGAACTAATCAACTTTGTTTTGATTTTATTTTATGAGGTGTAGAAATTATAATTGGAAAGAATGCCTAACTTTCCCAGATAAGAATTACTGTCAGGTAAGTTTATTTTAATCTAATATTGTAATTTTTATACTTCCTTACTCAATTTCCTCTAGTCCCGCAGTGGACTAATCGTTAAGACACGGTTCCCAGCAGATCACCGAAGTCAAGCATCACTGGCTACGATCAGTGTGCGGGAGGGTGACCACTTGGATCAGTCTGCGTAGGGACCGAGGGTGTGCGATATTGGTCCTCGTTAAACTGTGCTACCGTAAAGTGCTCGACTTGGCGTGCAGGTCGTCGGGCAACCGAAGCAGGGGTGCCATCCCCTCCGCAGAGGATCAAAATTGTGATGGCATGTCTTCAGATCATCCTCCGAGATGTTTCCCAGACCGTCGCCAATAACCCATTGTGCAGCTCTAGTGTGACGTAAATTAACAACAACAGCAACAATTTCCTCTAACTTTCAAACTATTATTCATAGAGATATAAGTTTTTGGTGTCATCCAACTCAGCGTAAAAATTCACACTGGAGAAACACTTTCCCCTGTTCCACCTCTTCTCCTCTTAGTAAATTCAAGATGGTGGTTAAAGCTCACCTCATAAGCTATAAACTTATAATTCCTGCATAAGCTGTAAACTTGTAATTCCTGTATTGAGGCCAAATCAAAATTTAAAAACATTTTCCAATTTTCTACTAATTGCTACCGTTTTTTTATGGCACAAAAATGAGTCTATAATTTTAATCTTTATAATTTCTGATATTTTGCAAACTTAGATGTAAATCATCAATGAATAACTACAATTCTTTTTTAATGAAACATTGCATTTTTGGAATAACTTTTAAAATACTCCAAATACTCCTCTGACAAATATTTACGAACTTAATATTTTTAAAAAGCAAAATAATGTTTCTGAACTGAAAGAATAAAATTTATGCAGGCAGAAGACAATACTTACCGATAGCATATAACGACGCAGAAAACAGCGACCATAAGATAAAGTTAAATAATGCTTTGAATTTTCGATATACACAGGTTCATTCTTTATTACTCTGCTTATCAATGTTTAGTTATCAATACTCTTTATCACTTACAATGCATCTTTTTTTTATTCCTTTTTTTTAACTTATTTGATTTTCTATTATTATATCAGGTCACAACGCCTTCAAAGTTTGTGGTATCTTGCAGTATTGCCTGTCTATTTAACGATGATTGTTTTTATAAACAAATATTGATATTTAATCCAGACAACCAGTGATAATTTGAGGCAAAAATCACATGTACTTTTTATCTGTCGAATTTGCACCAAAATAAAAATTAAGAATTCAGATTTTTGTTTTGCCTATGTATTTTGAAAAAAAAAAATCTTTTGGGTGAAAACAAGTACCACATGTATAAAGATAAATATTATTTTCTGCCACAGATATAGAATCAAATTATATTACTAAAAAGAATTCTTTAGCTGTGTATATAATAAATTACTTTTAAAACCCTTTGGTTTTTATTTTTCATACTTTTTTTATTATTTTGAATCAATTTAGATCAAAATAAATGAAAACTTTTATACTCAGTATTTTAATGATTTTTGGTAATGAAATACAGCATAAAACGCATTTGTCTTTTCCTGCTTTAAGGCTAATATCTTCCAAACATTACTCACTTCTAAACAATTTTTCAAATTTGAACTTTTTTAAACAGCTATTCATTATTGAAATTTCTTTCATTTATTAAATAAATTATTGATAAATTTTTTTAATATGAATGAAATTTTTTTTCTAACCACTTTTTAGGATTTCATATTTTAGCATAAATATAATCCTGACAAATGTTTTGAGTAATGCTGGACTGTTTCTTACAAATTAAAAATAACAAATGCATTTTTCTTATAATTGGAGCGATAGAAAAAGAGTTATATGTAAGGAACACTGGTGTTCTATCTCTGTCGAAGTGTTAATACAAAATTATAGAATTTGTTTCAATTTAAATATGAAAATTGAATATCCGTAACATTATAAGATGCTTAGTAGTGGCTGTGATCTAACAC